TCCTTCTGGGGCAGATCCATGAGGCCAAACAGGAACTGCATTGGGTCAGGGTCCAGGGCCAGGGCCAGTGACAAAAGCCCAAGAGCGAGCAGCAGTATAGACTAGGTAGCAGGGTCCAGGAGCAGGGACAGGGCAGGATCAGATGGCAGTGTGGGTGTGAGAGGTAGGGAGGGATGGGGCATGAAAAAACAAACAAACAAACAAACAACAGAACTGGTTGGCAGCTGGGAGGGGGCAGGGGGAACAGGCAACAAGACAAGCAAGGTCTGTATCTGCACAACCACACTCACCCCCTGCCTCCCACAGCATGTCCCTTGGGGTCCAGGGATCCTGAATGCTGTCTACTGATAGGTCAGATTGAATGGTTCTGCTAGCCAGATCCAGTACATAGGCCATATGTTTGACACCCTTGAATTAGCCAGATTTTCAGAAAAGACTTTTGTATTGTGGGGATACAAATGTCATTACAATTATCCTAATACCAACAACACAGGGAAACCTTGATTGAAGCCTGTAACAACAGCTTTCTAGTCACAGAATCACAAGATAACAGTAATAAAAAAATGCAGACGTCCATTACAAAATGATAAAATTAACAGGTGGGAAGAGATGAGTTACCAGGCTGATATAAAGACTGGTACAATTAATAGGTAGTAGCTTCTAATTTCTTAATAAATTGTTGTAATGGTCCTACATGTTACATTACTTCTACAAATGCTTGCTCATCATTTAGCTATTTCAGCACATTGTAAAAGAAATACAAATAAAGTTGTAATAGCTGTTTGAGATAGCTTTCCCTTTCAAAGTGATTAACTCACAATACAAGATCTTTACCATGTTATTAGAAGGCAAAATTCTATAGTATTCCAATCAGACTGAAAGTACCCAATAAACCAAATCCATATAGATGTATCCAGACTCCAACAGGCTGTCAGCAGGTATTAAATTTAAAAAGTCTTAGGCAACAAAAGCACAACCCTGTTTTGCGAAAGGAAAAGGAGTAAACTCCATTAGCAGTAAATAGTAGGCTGCCTACCACTGAATGGAAACTGGGTCTACTGAATTACATGTATGTTTTGAATCATTATCTTGCAGAGTTTTGCAATGTGCTGTATGCTTTTACTTTATCTTATTTTATTTAATACTTGCAGGTCTGCCAGAAAAAAAATTGAACTAATTTAATTGCTCTCCAGAAAGAAGCCTAACAATGACTTCATGAGAACTGTAACAAAATAGTACAGTACATGTTACGAAATCACAATGGAACAACCTGAGTAACCTCACAGGGCATTGCAAAATTATAGTTGAAACTTGAAAGGTCTACATTCCCCAGTTCATTTGCAATTTTGGGCAATACAAATGTACTTTTAAAACCTTAATTTAATTAGATAACATGTAGTAATGTATCCACAAGCATGCAAAACTGCTGAAGTGCTATTAATACTGCATATTTATACATGGGCCATATAGCTTAGAAACAAACTAAGTACAAAAGAACCATCAAAACATTTTTAGAGGCAGATTTTAAAAGTATTTAGTCACTTATTTCCCTTTATTTCAGTGGAAGTTGGGATTCCTCAATACTTTAATAACCTGGCGCTTAGCATATTCATCTTCCCATATGTATTTTAAGGTTACTTAAGACTTACAAATAACTGCAATAATACCAGTAGTTCTATAAAACTTTGTGTATCCAATATTCCCTATAATTCAGAATCTGACTTAGGAAAAATATTTTCATTTGTACCTTAAGCTTTTCCATTCATTTTGAAGGCAAGCCTTGTAAACTTAGAACCAATCCAGCAGATATTTACACACAAGTATTCATCCTAGCTGTTGAACTCATTAGGAAGATGTTCACAGTTTATACAGTTAGTATCAAAGGCCATTGTTAATGCACTCAACCTATCGAGAGCAAATCACTGTTTGTAAGTAACAAAATTACTACTAACCCAACCCATAGAAAACAGCATGCAGGCACCAATTATAATGCAAATATTTACCAAAGTAGGGATGCACTGATAAAGATTTTTTGGGCTGATACCAACGGCCAATTATTAATGAGCCATATTAGCCGATACTGATCCAATTGGAGATATGCAGCCCAGAAGCTTGGAGAGCAGCGTCCAGCTGGTAAGTCTGTTGGGGGAGAAGGGGCAGATCAAGGCCTCTACAGAGAGGGAGGGAGTGGGGCTGGGCATGGGATGGAGGGGGTGGCTCCCACCACTGCACGCACCGCCGAGGGGAGTCATGGGGAGGGAAGCACATGCCCTCAGATCTGTGCACAGTACGAGGGCAGGTTGCTGCTGCAGGGGGCCCAGGCTATGGCTGCTCTTGGGGTAGGCAGCAGCAGCAGTGCTGGGAGCATAGGCCCCCTCCCAGCACCACCTCCCACCCTGAGTGCAGCCCTGGACCAGCCTCCCCCCACAGCAAGGAAGAGTCTGGTACTGCCCCCAACATGCAGCAGCATGCACAGATCTGGGGGGCACGTGCCCCCCCCAGCTCCCCTAGAGGTGCATGCAGAGGTGGAAGCTGCCACCCCCAGACGAGCCACTCAGAGCTCTGTCCCATGCCCAGCCCCAGCTCCACTCCCTCCCTCACCAAAGGGGTCTTGATCTGTCCTCCACATCCCCCTCCCTCCCCTCCCAACAGACTTAACAGCCAGACACTACTCTCCAAGCATGCTGTAGATGTGCATAAAACAGAAGAAGAATCCGCTAATTTTTTCCTGAAGCATCTAGATGTAAATGTATCCAATCAGAGCTGCCAAACTAAAAATTCACTTAATCTTTATATAATAATTTTAATACAAAAAACAGAGAAGCTCAATAGCTAACGAAGTAAAAGCAGATTGCCAAAAGCCCTCATGTGCCTGGTAGTTCTCAGTCAACAGATTTAGGTCAGTATATTCAGTAGACACTGACCACAGTTGATACCTCTAGATCAGAGGTTCCCAACCCCCGGGCCACAGCCCCCGGTACCAGGCCACAAAATATTGGCTGCCAGACCAGAAATCCGGAAGTGATCGGCATGCTGCAGACTGGCAGCCGACCTTTTTTATGCTCAGTATAAAAAAGGGTCGGCTGCCAGTCTGCAGTATGCTGGTCTGCAGTTTGCCAGCCCACGGTCACCTTCAGCCTGTGGTTTGCTGGTCTGCAGTCTAAAACGTTTGGGAACTACTGCTGTAGATAAATACAGATTTTGAAGAGATTAAAAAAGACAGATTCTGTAATAGATCTGAAACAGGCCACCTGCAGACAGAAGAGGATCCAGAAGGGGGAGGTGTACACTGGTGCACTTGCACCCCCCTTTGATTCCTGGCAGTGGCAGCAGAATTTCAGCAAAGTACAGATAGTCAAAAAGCCTGAGGCTGAATCAATTCAGTCTTTGCAGGTTAGTCTAAAATGCACAGCTTAAACTGAAACAGAAGTGAATACATTTACCTTAATTCAGGAAATGCAGCCACATGACTACAGTAGCTCAGGCCAGAAGCCGGGGGCACTACAGCATGGCTCTCTGGCACACAGCCAGCATGGGCTGTATGTTTGCTTCCTCCTCCTGCTGCCCCAAAGGTCTCTGGGATTTGCAGTCCAAAATTACAGCAGCAAGACTCTGCAGGGTTGCTCATCACTTCTCCTTGCTTCCAGGTGCCTCTGGTATTTGTACTCCACAGTTTCAACCCCTTGTCAGCCAGCCTTCACTGCTCCAGCTAGGAAGCAGATGGACAGGGCCAGCCCTGCTCTCTGGAGCAGACAGCACAGTCCAGCCCAGGGCTGGAAAGCATGCTGGGATGCTGAAGGACTGATTTAACTTGAACCAGGAAGGGGTCTGGGACAGAAGTTTCACAAGCTGGTTTGACCCAACTCAGTTAAATCAGTTAACTACATTCAGCCAGGTTTATCTTAAACATCTGGTTTATATACATCTGAAAGTAACTATCAGAAGAATAGTTACAGACCTCTGCAGCTACCTTGGTCTCAAACTGCATCAAGGAAAATATAAGAGAAAAAGTTCTTCCTATTTCTAACCACTGGAACAGACTACGTACAGTGGTTGTAGAATCTCCATCCTTGGAAGTTTTTAAGGGCAGGTTCAACAAACACTTGCTTAGGATGGTTTAGACAAGGACAATCCTGCCTTGAGCAGGGGCTTGGACCATATGACCTCCTGCAATCCCTTCCATCCCTATTTTTTTATTCTATGAATATGACTCCATCTCTAAATAGACCCATTTCTAAGTAGGGCACTCCCAAATGAAAATAATCTGGATCTTTATTAACTTTGATCTGAAGCTGTCGTTATTTCCATCTTCAAGGTTTAGTTTCTTGTAAATGTTTTATATACTGCATTTCACAAGCTATCAGTATTCCAAGATAGCGGGGTGGGGGCAGGGTGGGGTGGAGTAGGCTGCCCACTGCGGACTTGGGCTCCCACCCTGCTGCCCTCCCCTGGGATCTCTGCAGCCTGACGGGTACAACCCAGCGCTTGCAGGGCACAGCAGGGCCATGCAGGAAAGCTGCTTGCTGAGGCGAGCTCTGCGCTACCCTGGCAACGCGTCCCATGTGCACAGCCCCACACCAGCACCATCCCAGATTGTAAGCGACTCTGGGGTCACTTTTTGAAAGTAGAAAGCTATTTCCACCTTTTAAGACTTATTCAAAAACTACTCTGAATTTTCTACATACTATTTTTTATAGTTCAACTATCATAGTTATTGGCTAACAAGTAAGTATTTAGTTATTGGCTAACACCTAGGTATTCATCCAAATATGCATGCATATTTTATATAAAAACTACATCTTCATCCGAAATCTAGAACAATGATTTACTTTTAAAACTTCCTAGAAGTTAACAAGCAACTACAACATGCTTACAAATATTTACTAACACCCAAAGACAACATGTCCCCAAACTTTGGGGGAATGAAAAAGATCAAATTAAAAAAAACTGAAAACAAAGTAATTTGATTATCATTTGGGGGAGAGGTGAAGAAATCATACCTTCTTGTTCTACTCTTTGATCTTGATCTCTGAGACCTGTAGGATTTGCCTCTGCCTCTTGATCGACTACGACTCCGTTTTCTTCTTGATCCATATGAAGAACTACTGCTAGATCGGTGCCTGCGTCTAAAAAAATACCACCATTAGTAGCTCTCTCCTAATTCTATTTTAAAAACAGACACTCTGAATCGATAAGTTTTTATTACAACAGCACCTATGAAATAAGGGTCACCATAAACAAGCACAGTATCAGAAAAGAGTTTCTGTCTCAAAAAACCCTCACAAGAAAAACACAGGTCACTTTATTCGGAAAATCCCTTCACAATTAAACAAGTGACTGTTACAGCTCGCAAGCTATGCTTGAGTAGTATTAAAATTGCTTTTGAGAATGCTTTTAGTTTCCTTCCATCTTGGTTCTTTGAAGAATGCTATGGTGAAAAAAAGTTTTGCACTGTGAACTGAAGAGAGAGCAAAGACAGGACTCTTCCCAACTTCATTTGGGTATCTTGAGCCGTCTTCAGAAAAGATAACTCCTTCTCATATTTGTGAAGTGATAGATTATAGATAAGATGACAGAAGACCTCCAAAGCATCATCTTTGAGACAACGTCTCCATCCTAGATTTAGGAGACATAAGTGCTATAGAGGATTCTAACTGTTGAGATAAACACAAGCTTAACCCATTGAAGACTTGGCAAATCAATACTAGAACACAGAATTAGATACAGAAGTAACATGAAGCCAATATAAGTTATAGAGCACTGGAACCACGCATTGTAAGTGTGTCATCCTACTTAAAAAAATAAAAATAAAAAATAGGTTTCCTTTGGTATAAGTAGCACTACAGTAGTCTGGACTGAAAGACGGAACTGGTAAATTACAATGGCCAGGTCCTCCTCTGTAAGTGGGAAATGGATCCTTTTTGCTAATGGAAGATGAAGAGCAGTACTGCTGCTTTTGATTCTTAAGGGTCATATTAGATTCATTTCTGACCCTCACGTGTAATTCTATCTTAACTGCCAAGGACAAATGTCCTAAACTGAGGGCAAGGCAGAAGTGCCTGCCAGAGTCTCAAAGCAAACACTTTGGTCTTTTCTGGATTCAATTTAAGTCAGCTGGTCTTCATCCAAACTCTAATCTCCCTCAAGCTCTGTTATCTGCGAGATAGCCGTGCCTGCACTGGGACAAAAGAGATTCATAAAGCTGCATGTCATCAGCATAGTGCTGGCATCGAAGCCCATTTCATCTCACTATGTCCCCTAAGGGTATTATGTAGATGCTAGGCAGGAGCAAAAAATAGAACTAGCCAACTTGCCCACCATTACTTGCGAGTGATCGAACAGAAGAAACAAAATGAGGCTAGCCAAAAAAAAATAAAAATCTATAGCTTACTTCCACAAGATACAGGTGAATCAGCAGCACTTTAAGTTAGGTCAAATGCAGCTGAACAAGTTGTTTATTCTCAGTTTGTTTTCCCCTCTCTCCATCACTAAAATATCCTCTATCAATGCAACTTTGTTCTAAGTCCATCTGAAGTCAGGTTATGGGATAGTCAAAATATGTGAAGACTCTGGATGTTGCTGGAGTGATGCAATGGTACTTTTTCCTCATCAGAAAGGACAGGCGGGACGAAAAACGAAGCAAAGATTATCAAGCATATTGGCTTAGTGTCCGTCTCCTGAGGATGCAAACTAACATATTATAGGTTTCCTCCACACAACAACAACAACAACAAGGTAAGAATAATAGTGAAAACAAGCTTGCATAGCTATCATTTTAGAAATCATTTCCATTAATATACACCTCCTTCTCCATTGCACTCTTGAATGGTTGGCTTTATTTTAGCAGCAGGTATAAACATAGTAATACGTGACTGGCTGGGTGAAGTTTCTTGTGCTGTTAATGTTAGTGCATAGTCTATTAGACCTCTAAAATGGGATTCCAAATTCACAGTTAAAAATTTGACAGAACGGGAGGGAACATGCCTATTTTTAATATAAATTTTATTTTTAAAGCTGCATTCACACCAGTAATGTTTTAAATAGATTATATAGTTTTTCTGTGACCCAAGACCCAAAGATAATCTTAGTAGGAAAGCCCAGAACAAGCGTTTGTCATGCAACATCTGGCAAGTACTGAGAACATGCACTGTATTCAAATATTTTTAGCCTTGCTGCATAGGTGAAGCTATGTCATGCACAGATGCATGTAACTTGAACTCACCTTTTCTCGTAAGAATGTGAACGGGCCTGCAGATCTCGAGACCGTGAATTCGACCTGGACTTCCTTCCCGATTTCTTACGGCTGTGTGTTCTGCTGTCTGAGGAACTACTTGAAGATGAACGCCTACGGTGCTTCTTTTTTCTTCTGCTTCGATTCTCTTCTTCTGTGTCTGATGAGCGACGTCCCATTTTTACAACTATTTAAAAAAAATGAAAACCATTCTAACATATAACATTGTCATGTAGAGTTTGTAAAACATTAGATGCATGTGTAAATACCACTTTGTAAAAGTCAAAAGTCAAAACATGAAGCATGGGGGGCCTGACCTTTTATTTTAAATTCCTAGTCTGCTAATGGTTTTGTGTAACAGATGACAACCTTAGACTTATAAATTAACACATTAAAATGAAACTTTTAAAATATGATCTTTCAACTCATATTAGCTGCTACAAACTTTGAAATAGCTCACAAGCAAGTTAATCACAGTCAAAATGTTCTGGTACAGCCACCTGCAACATCAACATTATGTATTTTCTCCTTTTTATTCATTTTCTGTCTTACTCGGATATTAGTACTTTTACGAATCACTGGAAGGGATGGCTTTTAGACATTTACATAGGCATTTAAAATCTGAGACCTTATAAGAGGACCAGACATTGTCAGTACTACAATATCTTTAATTACATTTAACTTGCGATTTTGTAAAGACAACCATAGTAATGCACCTGCATTGTCCACACAGTGCTAGTCAGTCAGTCAGTCATACTTTTTACTGCTCAGCATTATTGCTTGTTGATCATATGATTAAGTCACTTGTATGTTTATGGACATATAATTAGAAGCTAAGTAACAGAAGAGGAAAAAGTTTATCTGGAACTTTTAAGCTATAAAATAAGAGGATGGAACTTCTTCTACAGATTTAGGTGTTCAGTTTAAAAACCACACAACTTTAAATGGTTTAATTCCAAAATCAGAGCTATATATATTAAACTTGAGATGTGTTTCTTGATCCCCCAAGGTGTTTGTGTGTATAAAGATTCAGGTTTATGGACTGTGATAACAGGGCTGTAAAAAACTGCCATTCATTTAATTGCTGGAAAGACAATCACCTTTTCTTGGTTTGGAACTCATAAGAAATCAGTTTTATTGCTGTCACTTCATGATTAAAGAAATAGTATGCCTCTTGAATTTTTCAGGCTATAAAAGTTGATAATGTTTTAAATCCATTTTTGTTCCAGAGGCACCACCCCCACCCACCCAAGATGTTAAGATTCCCCCTCCCTTCAACTAATGGTACTTAATAAAGAGGCCTTCTTCCCAAAAATAAGCAATTTTAAGATGTCTGGTTATATCTAAACTAAGAACACTGCAACTCACAATTCTCCACTATTATTATGACTTGTGGAGGCAGTAGTGTAGACAGGGTTGAGGCATTTTTATCAGTGGTGAAGAGCTACAGTTCCTGACTTCCCTAGCATAGACTAGTCTTTTGAACTCTTTCTCTGACATCAGATCTTTACCCTTCCCCATTCTTTTCTTCATATAAACAGCAGAACTTAATCTCTAACTAAGAAGCTAAAAACACAACTAAAGGGAATTTCTCAATTATGCTCATTTAGACGCATTCACAAAAAGGTTTAGCTGCCTGAAATGGAATTAAATTTCAACCGAGTCCAAGAGTAGGATGTACAAAATCCCTGAAATATCTAAAGGGCTAGGGAACTTAACTGTTAAAAATATAGGTGCCTGCACACAAAGTACTGTTTGTGTTCACACTCAAAGCCGCCATCGTCTTGGCAGGACAAAGCATCTCAGCAGCAATCCTCAGTCAGAACTCATAAGGTTAGCATCCCTAGGCATCTTTACATATACTCTGGGCTGGGGGAGGAGGGGCGCTTTAGAGTGACTCCTGGAAACCGCTCTAATTAAAGCACCTACAGCATCTCGTGTATTCAGCGCCCTGAGCTTCAAAATGCTAGCAGAGCACTTTAACTAAAACTTGTTAGATGAGCTTTGATTAAAGCACCCCGACTGCCGTTTTCAAGCACAGGAATGCTGAATACACGTGAGGCAGAGGCTGCTGAAATGTACTAATTAGCACGCATCAGAGCAGGCATCAGGCACGCATATAGGTGCCCCCTGGACCCAAGTATCCTGAGGCGCCCAACTAGCAAGAGTGTTCAGAACATGCCCAAATGCTAACACCAAGTTCCATATGCATTCATTCAAGAACAACAGAAGGACATGATGTCCCTCCCCTTCTTATAATAGCCTGGTGCAGAGTTCTCAACCTTTTTAGTCCCGAGGCACTCAGACTCAAGGCATCCTTCAGAAACTGCCAGCTCTGTTCTTTCACTCTTTTTTTTGACTCCAGAACTCAAAAAAATGCAAGCAAGTCAGAACGGTTTTGACACAATGGATTCCTATTTGAAATCTCTGGCCAGATCCAGATACACACGTGCAGGCATGTTCATTTCCCCAGGAACAAACAAAAGCAGCACAATATGTGCTGCACACTCTGGTGTGCCACAAGTGGCCCGAGGTGGGGTAGGGGAGGCTGGGGCCAGTACAGGCATACCTCGGAGATATTGCGGGTTCGGTTCCAGACCACCGCAATAAAGCGAATATCGCAATAAAGCGAGTCACACGAATTTTTTGGTTTCCCAGTGCATATAAAAGTTATGTTTACACTATACTGTAGTCTATTAAGTGTGCAATAGCATTATGTCTAAAAAAACAATGTACATACCTTAATTAAAAACATACTTTATTGCTAAAAAATGCTAACCATCATCTGAGCCTTCAGCGAGTCGTAATCTTTTTGCTGGTGGAGGGTCTTGCCTCGATATTGATGGCTGCTGACCGATCAGGGTGGTGGTTGCTGAAGGTTGGGGTGGCTGTGGCCATTTCTTAAAATAAGACAACAATGAAGGTTGCCACAAACCTTCAACTTGTAAAAAACGCAGTATCTGCGAAGCGCAATAAAGCGAAGCGCAATAAAACGAGGTATGCCTGTACCTGGGCTGGCCCCCAGCAGCCTTACATGGGTTTCTAGGGGTCTCCTGGGGCTCCAGCAGTGATGTTCCAGCAGTAGGGAGCCTGGCCACCAACCAGAGCATGGCTCCAGCCAGATAGGCTCCAGTTTCAGGTAGTGCACACTGCCACCACATATGCCACACTGCTTTTTCTGCTGAGGGATTTTTTGGTACCAGGATTTTGTGATGTCAGAAAAAAAACCCAGCACTGCAAATTTGCAGCACAAGTAATGCTTACATGTGTGGCGTGTGTAGCACTGCAGATGGGTCTGCGGCGCCACATGGGCTAGAGACAGACATTTAAAAAGCCTGAGCCTGAATTGATTCAATCTTTGCAAGTTAGTCTAACCTGCCTTGGCTGAATCAGTTTGTAACTGTACAGACATCCCCTCTAGATTGAAAAGAAGCCGGGGGCCGCTAGAGCAGCCCTCTCTTCCCTTCCAGAGCTGAGCTGAGGTGGGGTATGGCCAGGCCCCAGCAAGACACTCTGATTAGAGAGGGTGAGCGAGGGAGCCAGCAGGGATTTACACAGCATTTAGTTACACAGCAGGGAGTTACATAGCATTTATCAGCCCATCAGCAAAACAAAACGCTCTCTCATTAGTTCCTCTTCTTAAACAACTTTTTCCAAGAAAGGAAAAGAGACATTACCAACTACCTGTTGATTAGCTCCAAAAAGCCCTAAGCAACGCTCTCCTGTCTGCCTGTGTCCTGTCTCCCACAGCATGGACATAGCCAGCATGTGGTATGCTAGCTAATGCTGAGAGGTGTCTGTGTTAGGCAGCGGGGACTGGAAATCCCTGCTTGAGCAGGGCGGGGAGACCAGAAGGAAGCCAGGCAGACCCTGCTGTACCTGCTGGAGGGGGGAGAAGGGCAGTGAATTTTGCTGGGCGACAGCAGAGAGCAGAGCCTCACCCAGAGCTGCAAAGCATCTGGGATTCTGGGTGACTCTAGTTTATCTTAAACCAGCAAGGGGTCTGGGACAGACATTTCATAAACCAGTTTGACTCAAATCAGTTAAGTCCAATACTACATTCAACCAGGTTTATCCCAAACTGGTTTCAGCCATTTTCAAACCGCTTTATATATAGTAAACATCTGTTCTATTACAGGTTTAAACCATTTTCTGATCATTTTCACTTAAACTGGTTTGTCTGTGATGTCTATCCTTAGCCATACTGCACTTATGCACTTGTCTGGACACATCCTCTGGGTCTGTCTTGTAAATCATACATAAGTGTTTGCACACCTAACCATGCTAATAGTGCACCCTGAAAAACATCTTAACGTACCCCAGGGTGAAGCAGCACCTCAGTTAAAATTCTTTGGCCCAGTGAAAAGAACACTTGCCCACAAAAAGAGAGACCTAGAGTGTGTACAGAAGTCCTCTATGCATGTTTTATAGGGCTGTAATTTAGAGCACTTTTTATAGCACTATAAAGTTACAGTGCTTTTATATTTGTAAGCTGCCACCAAATCCCCCCAAAGTCTTCTCTTTTTTAGGCTGAACAGTCCCATACCTGTCAGCCTTTTCTTGTATGGCTTGCTCTTCAGGCCACTAATCATATAGGCTCTTCCCTGGACTCTCTCAAGCTTCTCCACATCCTTCTTGAAGTGTCGCACCCCGAACTGGCCTCAGTACTCAGGCTGCAGCCTCACCAATGCAAAGCAGAGCATTTCCCACTGCCTACCTTTGACACACAACTAGCATGCTGACCAGCACAATGGTGAATCCCACTCCTAGGCACCCAGCTCTCCCACTGCACTACATGGGGCTCTGAAACACACAACTCAGGGCCTTGGATTCCATTTCTGTAGCCAAGCACCTAAAATCTAGCCATTGTGATGCCAAGCATCACCACACCCAGGTCCCTTTGTACATCTACCTTAACCATCTGTGGCTTCATGTCCTCAGCACTCTGCAGGACTATATCTTCAGCCAACACAGTTTGAGCAACAAGATAAATCAAACTGGAGAACAAGGGAAAACTGAATCCAAAAAAAAAATCTGTAGATATGTTCACCACTGTATGTGTATTGTTAACATGAAATAGTTTTGCTCATGCCATGAAGGAGTGAAACCACTGGTCCACATTTTCAAAGGTTTACAACTTGACCAGATTTGGGCAGATTTTCAAGAGGGCAGTTCAAGGACTTACCTGACCCAAAGGCCTTTTCCTGACAAATTTAAAAGTCTCAACCCCCAAGCATGAGGATGTTAGAGAAACTCAAATGAAAGGTCACCAAAATTATTCTAAATTAAGCAAGAATGTTCTCTCTCGGCCTGTTTCTTGGGAACTACTGTAAAATTTTGGCAGAAGTTTTCAAGAATGTTCAGCCTAAAGCAGCAACAAGGCCCAGAAAATTTCAGTTGAAATGGTTTATGTTTGGCAGAGTTCTGTTGCTTATAAAATAGGTTTTTATAGTGGGAAAGTTATTCTAGTTCTATCAGCCTTGACAATAACATTGCAAGTAGCCAAGTAACTTCATGTACCGCATAAAAGAATTCAAACAAGACTAGTGGTAAAAAACAAAACAAAAATAATATTTCTATAACATCTATTCAACAACTAAATGTAGGCAAATTTCAGTGCAATAAGAAAATACATATTGAATAACCTGGCTTCACCTCATCTCATCTTCTAAGTTTCTGGAGTTATTTTATTTAAGAGAATTACTCAAAATTTGAAACTAAACATACAAACATATTTTTGTACTATATTTAACAAATTACAGGTTAAGAACAACCTTAACAATGTAATATTCCACTGCAGAAGAACTAATTTTCAGGTAAAGAACCCTCCTGTGGATTATTTTTCAGCATACTGTTTAATTAGACATCTTTAGCTACCTCAATCAAATGGACAGCAGCTATAACATTACAGCAAAGTTCACATCACTTTGACATCAGGTCCCTATTACAAACAATGTTTGTCTACTGCTAGGAAACGTTGCTCATAACTAGTTTGCAGTGATCTCAAGTTTCGAGTAATTGCCAAATATCTGCAGCATATGGCTCGTGATCCCTGTAAATAAGACCTTTCCAATATGATCATATTATCCAGATACTGAAAGAAAAGGTGTCACATCCACTTCATTATCCCTTTTTCTTCCAGAGGCACTGGGCATGCCCTTTGGTAGGATAGAACACAGGATAACAACTTCCTGCCATAGTCATTCCTGATCAGCTCTAGATCCTGGAAAACCAGGGCAAAGGAGAAGTAATTTTCCTTTTCTGAAGGCCACTAAAATTACTTTCACTGCATGGGAGGATTTTATTTTTAAAGGAAATTAGAAATGAACATCACAGAACTAGTCCAATAGAGAAAAATAAGAAAGGCAGCAATCTGGACTGTAGTTGCCATCCACTAACTGTCTAATGGCCTGTGTAAACATGTTTGTGGTCTCAGTCTATTTTCAAAATTACTATTAGACAAAACTCTACAACACAAATACCAAGAAAGCCATTCATAAGTGTCAACTTCAGCAAAAAGGCCCAGGATAAGTCAGATATTCAACTACTTTCTCAACCTGAAATGTGACCCACTATAACAGGAAGTCACAGGCACTGGCCATGATACATTATTACTCGTTACATCAGAATACTTCACTTGGAAAATGGCATCTAACTGGCACCCCTCACAAGCACTGAATTAATCTTAAATATTAAGAAATTGTTTATCTTAAGTGAACATTTCAAAGGAACAATATGAATTACTACTACTACTACTGTTGTTGCTACTTCTCCCACTGAAAGAGTTCATTTTAAAATGTTAAAGCACTTTACAAAGAAAGTTGGAATCCTTACTCCCATCATACGTATGGGAAAAGCGAGGGACATAAACCTAACCTAACCTGCCCAGGGGTGTCAACCTCAAATGCATTTGTGGACCAGATCCAGACTATGTAACCTCTCATGGGCCAGACAACCCACTTCTGGGTCCAGCCTGTTGGGGCTTCTTGCTACTGCTGAAGCTGCCAGAGCGGCTCAATGTCAGCAGCCAAGAAGTTTAATGTTGCCACCACTCAACCACTGACACTATGTGGCTACCACATGGGATTTAATGTTGCTGCCTGCTGCTGATTTGCATGCCAAATAGCAACCAAAAACCAGAAATTTGAGTTCCCCACAAAAATTAGTCAGTACAGTGCAGCGCTGTCTTACAGCACCTGCAAGGATTTATGCAGAAATATTAATAACTTTGCTACATAAGGCTAATAGGAACCACTACCAATTTCTTTCCTTTGCTATTCTGAAGAACAAAACAAAATGCCAAATGCTTTATGTTGGTTTAAAGGTTACAAATCCATTTTAAAGTAATTTGAAAGAAAACCACACTGAGAGTTTACACAGAGGTCAGCAGTGCCATAACTTCTTGGCTATGGGTTTATATGGATTAGGGCGAGCTTGGACAGATTTATATTTTTAATTATTAAAAGTTGTGCATTTTATACTATTTGTTTAGCCAACCATTTTTAAAGCTGATCTTGAAGTTGAAGTTTGAATAAACAAATAGAAGCTCCCAAGCCTACTCAATTTTCCATGTCTCTCCTCTCTCCCCCAAGTTCATAAAACAGAAACAGCTAAAAGCAGAGTAAGAAAGTGCTTAGCTTCTGGAGTTTGCTTTGGCATCAACTGGAACAGAAAACACACAAAATCCTGCACTTAGCAGGTAAACAAAACAAAAAATATTTTAAACCACTGTTTTAAAATGCAATTATTTATGTTTCTATGTAATCCTAGATGACCATGTAGGAATCTAATCTCACAGAAAAGAAACTTTTTCATCACTTTTAAGGCTAATTAGTGCCATACCTAAAAGTTTACACTTCTCCTCCCCCCCCCCCACACACACACAGGACAATGTTTTTCAGCTATTTTTGTGCTCAAAAAGTATCTAGGCTTGTATCAGTGGGGGCTTAACTGCTACGTAAGAAAGAATTTTCACTGAAATGTAATCTTTATTTTACATGCTTTGCTTCAAAGGAGTGGGAAAACTGACCAAGATATTCTTGTATAATACTGGTCTGAAGCAAAAATATTTCATTTTTATCAGTTCAAACATATCTTCCCTCTTACCCACTCTATGGTTAGTGTTCCCTCATTTTTTCCAGAAAGTTATTTTTTAATAACTTGATGAAAAGTCACAGGCAAAATTATTCTTAAATGTAAATAGTGGCTCACGTGTGACAAATATAGTCTATATAAAAGACTAAGTTCAGTCCTTTAGATCCAAATGTCAGTAAAGAGTTGGCAGAAGTAGAACAGAGGATGTATTACTGCATGTACACATGTACAAGTGCATACAAGCAGGGCTATATAAGGATCTTAACATACTGGGAGAAACTCACATATGCCCAATACTTAGACTGGCATGTCTCTCTAGGTTTTTCATTAAATCCATGTACACTTTGTTTCCAACCTTTTACCCATGTTTTTCATCCGTAAAACCTTGGAAAATAAGCCAACGCATGCAACCATCTCACCTCAGGTGCTCACCTGCAGAAAGTTACACAGATGCCCTGAACCCCCTATGGATCAAGCCAGATAAGGGTCTTTGGGTAAACCTGATATCTTTTATTAGACCAACTCAAATAACTGGAAAATTTCTTCTTGGCAAGCTTTCAAATACAAACACCAAAAGCTTGCTAGGAATAATTTTCCCCCACTGTAAGTTGGTCTAATAAAAGATATCGGATTTACCCAAAGAACCTCATCTGCCCGGGTCCTGACACGTGGCTACAATCCACACCCCTGAAACATGGATCAAGACACATGCAACGGGCAGAAGTTCCCACACCAGATACCAACACACGACCCTGCTACGTAACGGGGGGAAAGAAAAAAATCTAGAGCTGCAGAAGCCAAACTACTGACGGTGTCGCCCCCAGCGCCCGGCTCCGGCGGTTTCCAGTGACAAACCCACCGACACCTGGCAGGCCGGGAGGGAAGGTGTCTGCCGCACAGCCCTTCCCGCATTGGTTTCCCAAAGGCCAGCCCCTGGGGGGGTGGGGGTCTGAGTCCCTGAGGAGAGCAGAGAGGCGGAGGCAGCGCGGGGGGCCGGGCCGGTGTCCTGGTTTCCGCGGGCGCCGAGGGGGAGCCCGGGGCCTGCGGGGAGCGGCGGCACCTGCCCAAGACCCACCGCGGGGAGGCGTGCGCGTGGCAGCACATGCACACGCAGGTGTGCACCCGCGTGTGAGCACGCACAGGAACACATACCTGCCTGGGCGCGCACACGCAGTCACACGCACGTACACCCGCAGGCGGGACTGGGGGGTCGTGGCGGCGCGCGGAGGACCAGGCCGCAAGTGCCGGGAGCGCCCGGGCGACCCCCCCTGCCCATTACCTGCGTGCGGCGCCGGCACAGGCCGCTCCGAGGCCGCCGCGGCCCGGGTTTGAGCTCAGCGCCTTCCTGGTGCCGCAGCCAGGCAGAAGCAAACCATCCCGGAGCTCATCCACCCGGCCAGGCAGAGAGCGGCGCTCGGGAGCGCCGAAGGCATCGATCGCCGCGTCTACATGTCTCTCCGAGGAGGCTGGCCCGGATCGCCCTAATTGTCATCACACAAACAAAATATTAATTAATGGATGCGCCCTGGGCCCGCGTGAGGGTTCTTTTTTTTTTTTTAAATCCAGCCACGAGTGGTAAAATTAATGTGCCGCCTTTAGCCAAAAATGCTGGAATAAATCACAGGGCTCTGTCTCTATATGGTACACTATGATTAAAATTGCAATGATTTATTTGCAAATTGCTTTAAAACGCTGCGTTTCTCCTTCCCCTGGAGGTGATGGGCTGCTGAGGGTGGGTGCAAATTAGTTTCTCGGTTAAAGGCACTTGTTTCGGCTGGGGAGGAGGAGAGGGGACTGTTGGAAGGAGGATGGGGGGGGAAGAGAATAAAATTTATAGTTTTTCATTTAAGCCAAAAGTAATTAAAGAGGCTCAATATTTCCTGGAATTTATACTACATCGACATTTTTTTCCCCTGGCAGAAAAATCCATTTCCCCTCTTTGCTGCAAAGACAAAGCACCTGAGGTGCTGGAGGAGAGTGGCCGGTTTGCTTTGGTTTGGGTCGCTTCTGGGTGGGGGGTGAGAGGCAGAGGGGCTGAGTCCCAAACCTATCTGCTTTACACGATCTGCAATTATTCGCAGGCAGCTGAGATCAAATAAAACAGTTCGCTCGGTAGGTCCTACTAAGAAAGATGCTCATGTCTCCTCCAGTTTATAAAGGTGGGGGCTTGCTTTCCGTTATTCTCTATTTCATATTTACTTGGATTTTCCCCCTTTTTTGCACTTTAAAACTTCCTGGCATTAGCCACTCGAGCAGACTCGAGTTGTGTTACGACTAGCACCTTGCTTCTTTTTCGTGATATTCTGCCACACGGCAATGCTTGACGCGCTGAGTACACTTATTTAGGCAGGAAAGGGGAAGTCAACCTTTCTACACGAATAGATATCGTCATCATTTTTAAAAAATCTAAATATTTGCAAAGGAGTTTAATATTTCCTTGGCTTGATTTTCATACTGACCTAAATAACAACTCCCGATTCCGGGTTCAGAGGGGGGTTAAAATAACCCTCCGAAGCAGACATTCAGGAACCTGCTCCCCATTCTCATTCGCCCAAATTATTTACAAAACAGATCGTTGTCTGTTGTAAACCGAGAGGTGACCTCTACGGTGGGAGACTGCTAGGTATTCAAAATTATTAATTTTCTTCCGTTGTATACGTGTGGGTTGTTAGCCAAGTTGCAATGTCGGGAATTGGGAAGAAAAACTGTGGAAGTAAAATAAATACGTTCCCACGAAGAACGCTTAAAGTGAATCATCTTAAGGGGGTTATATTCACGTTTTTGTAGCCCAGAATAATTGTAAATTCATCTAACTGGATCAGTGATCACGATCTGCCCATATCTTTTAAAAGTTGGTAGAACTGCTGAGGTTTCCGTTGCTCTCCTGAAGTCCACTACTTTGCTCGAATAGACAAAACACTGTCAGCTCGAATAGACAAAACTGGAAATAGCCTCATTGCAATAGGCGAAATGATGGCTTGATTTGTTTTGCCTTCAAACTGCTAAAACGGAGTGCAAGTACAGTGCTGCCTATTGTGTCCAAAACACGCATAATTGGATCTGAAGAAACGCTAATTAAATTCTAAATACTGTACCTGTTATAGTAAATAAACACTCTTTTATGTAAAGTCGTCTTTCCAGAGGTCACATGAAAAATCAATACATACGCAAGAGTTAAACAATTTTGAATAATTTATTAGAATTCTACCAAAGGTGTAAAATAGCTGAATCTTAAATAGCCTGTCAGTAAAAAACACTACCTTAATGGGATTTCAACAACAAAAGGAAGGCAATATTAGCAAGAAATACTGTAATCCAGTCTAATCTGATGCCTCAATTTGCCACGTTAGAAAATGTTAATGACACGATTATATTTGTCATCCTCAACTAGGTTTTTATTTTACTTAGTGTTTTTGTGCCACTGTTTCAGGAAGAACTTTCCCACCTTGCCAGCCACTTAATCAACGTGTTAATGTTTACACGGATCATTAAACGTCCTATCACTTGCAAATTTCCGATTGCATTACTCGCATCACAATTAAATATTTACACTGGAACACGATATTTCCTCCTGTATTATGGAAGAATTCTCTTCAAAACCAAGAGCAGCAAAAGGCAGCAGCAGAAGAGCTTCCCCCAAATGGGCAATTTTAGTGTTTGCTTGAACGCTGAGACCAAAAAAAAAAAATGTATAAAAGTCACTGTACGCAGAGGATGCTCTCCCTATCGACCCCGTGGGGTAAACAAAACGCATCTGAACTGCAACCAAATTTAGACCAGAGGCAGCCGATTCCTGGTAGGAAAGTAACTAACTGTGTTCCTGGGGAGGGGCGGGGGGAGAAGGGGAAGAGATTGTGCTAGGAAACAATAATAATCTAATGTCAAGATGCTGGGAACAGCATGGGGAGAGATTACTTCGTGGGTGGAAGTACATCGAGCATCACCAGGTTCCAGCTGCACAAGCACACTTGTAAATGTGGCACGTCAGTAAACATCTGCTCGGGAAATATCTCGACAAAGCAAGCTCCGAGTCATACAATAATGTAACCTTCAAAATTAACACGCCGCTCGCTCGCTCTCTGCATCCCTCGCTCTCATTCTCCCCTGCACACAGTAACCGACCAAAGCAGCCCTGGTCTGCGGGAAGAGCCGGGTCTTCCCTCGGACGCGGTTACCTGCAGGACTAGGACTGGCTGCTGGGTAAATAAGACATTTGTAGGAAGCGCTCCCCGTTCCTTGTTCTCTCTCCGAGCAGACTTGTCATTTTTCATTTTGGCCACTCCCCTGCAGATCCTGCCCATCTCCCCTGTGTTTAACTAACTCAGGACACTAGCGCAAGATCCACGCCTAATTAAATTAATTAGGGATTCTTGTCAATCCTGGATTAATGGCCGAGAGCAACCCCTGGCCACAATGATCTGAAACCTGGAGGACTAGTGATCTCTCTGTCTGTCTGTGCCGGCTCGGCGGTGCGGGGCTGCTGCGGGAGAAGCGGGTTCATTCAGAGTTCCAAGGGGAGGTAATTTGCTGAGAACAAGGGGCAGGCTTTGCAAAGTATAAATAGTGCGACTTCAATAGCAACATCGCGATCAGATCTGAACTCTTAGCGGGAAGAATTGTCAAAGATCTTCACATTCAACAAGATCGCTCCGGCTGGGAAGCCATCAGCTCCCATTTCACTCCGGCCCCGTTGCGGCGCGCCCCCTCCCCTCCTCCTCGCCCCATTGATGTGTTATTACTGGGGGCTTTGGAACAGCAAGAGGAAAAAAGCAGGGCAAGGCGCCTGAGCTGCGGCGATGGAAGAACTTACAGCTTTTGTCTCCAAGTCGTTTGATCAGAAAGTGAAAGAGAAGAAGGAGCTGATCACATACAGGGAGGTTCTGGAGAGTGGCCCTGTCAGAGCAGGCAAGGAGTCGGGCGGCTCCGCCGAGCCGGGCCGGGAAGACGTGAGCAGCCCCGCGGTCCGGGCGGGAGGCGGCGGCGGCGACGGAGGAGGAGGAGGCGGAGCGCGGTCCCCAGGCAGGGAGCTGGACATGGGCGCCGCCGACAGAGCCAGGGACACGGGCACTCCCAAACTCAGCGAGGGTAAAGGCACCCGCCGGGCACCGCGGTCCCCTCCCTCCCTGCTGGTGGCGGGGCCGAGGGCTGGGGCGGCGGGAGGCGGCTGCTCGGGCTCGGGGGAAAGTTCCCGGAGCAGCAGCGGCGCCGGCTGCAGCCCTGGCGGCGGGGGCAGCGCTGAGCCGAGCCGAGC